AACGACATCGAACCATCTGGCAACTGCCAGTTTCCAATCACAGCAATGGTACTAACAGTACGTTTACTGTCATCTCGTGTGGTGTACACAGTTCACGTGCATGCCCCATAAACACCACTTTGAACACTTCACATATTAAACCATGAGATGCAACAACTCATCTTCTGTGGCACGCAGCAAGTGTGCAGTAAGCAAGCTCGTAAATTTAATGATTTTGTAATTACCCTTCGAGTTAGAAGAGATTTTAATATTCTTTTCTTAATTTTAATGGCTTTCTAACATTGATTTATCGAAAGTTTTGCAGAAATCGAAGAAAATTTCCTTAATGGAAACTTTGGTCTTCGATAATAAATTGGAGTTTGCGTTACGGGTTTCGAGATCGACGTTGAATTAAACTTCATTCTTGGCGTATTTATCACAATCAAGCTGACGTATACGTTTATTATCGTGTTATGATCATTAATTATTAATGGCGCCGATGACGTAATTAAAGTTACGGAGCGTAACCACGTTCGAGATTTCGCGACGTCACGGCTTACCGTAACTGGAAATATTTATGATTTCCACACTTAAAAGATGTCTGTTCTTACATATTTCATGTCGTTACGACAGAGATCACGAAAAGACAGGAAGGAATTCCATTTCGAGTGCTACGAGATGATGAATTTTTCACGGTTTTATGTTATGACACTAAAATTGGCGTCACGTTTTAAATAATTCTATATATTTCTTGTCATTTTACGACATTTTTAAGGTTACCGTTCGTGACCTTAGAGACTGTTTTTCGTAATTTTCTATGACATTTTTTTTTTTGCAATTTCTCGTGACTTTCATGGCACTTCTTCTTGTAATTTCGCACGAGTTTTACGACATTTTTTCTTTTTCCTCTTGTAACATCTGTAAAATTTGTGACATTTTTTTCTTTTAGTTTCACCTGACTTTTATGACTTTAACGTCACGTTTTTTATTCCAAATACGACATTTTTCTAAAACAATCTTAAATTAAAATAAATTACATAAAATTACTCATTAATTAAAGAAGAGAGTGACTCTTCGAGTTTCTTTACATTTAATAATGGAATTCTGAAAGACACACATAAACCAACATATTTAAATAATTAAAATTTAGAATTTTAATACTCTAATCAAACACGTGTCACGATTAAATGTAAGCGTAGTTAAAATTAATTACTTAAGCGAGTTAATTAATGAGGACAATGAAATTTATAAAAGTGAAATGCTGACATGGAGGAGCGTGTAATATGGTAACCGTTTCACTAGAAATTATAATTAAAATTTTCTTTGAAAAATTTCTGGATAATGGCCAGTACTTAATAGTGATTGATTGCTCTTTAAATCATTCAGTGTTTAAATATTTAAAGCATTCTTCTACTTCTGTATAAAGACTAATTTCTCGTGTTGTGCTTTGTCGTCTTGGCCGGTTTTATTTATTTTAAATTCACTTTTATGCGTGATAAAACGAGTCCAGTGTGCTACGTATGAAATTTTATTAACAATAAATCACTTGTAACAATTACAAATAGTAAAGGTTGATGTTTTGTATTAGTTACATTTATTGTATTGTTGTTGTATCTAGTACAGTACATCGCACTACTTCTATTGGCATACATATTTGATACTGTACTTGTATTGTGCTGCACTACTTGTGTTCGATAGTGCATTGCACCACTTATTCACTGCATTTTAATACTTAATTTTCTTATTTGATCCGTTGTACCACTTTTATTCTACGTCTGATCCATTGTACCACTTTTATTCTACGTCTGATCCATTGTACCATTTACTTGTGACACTTGGATTGTCATTTATTTACTACTAGTAGCCCGGGACGCTCCCTAGTGGGCGTTCTTTACAAATTTCCATGAGGCACGGTTCCTTTGACTTTTTTGTTCCTATCAATATGCTCTATAGTTCCGTTAAAGACCCAATGGTAAGATTTACCCTCCGAATGAAGGGGTGGCAAACCCCCCAGACTGTAGCCCCCTGTGCGAACAATAAATGTCTAATGAACCATACCTCTACGCGCGACCCTTCCCGAGATATCTCGCGAAGAGTCGCGCGTAGGGGTATGGTTCATTAGACATTTATTGTTCGCACAGAGGGAGGGTCGCCACCCCTTCATTCGGAGGGTAAATCTTACCGTCCCAATCGCGTCATACGGATCTATATTTCTACCTATTAAACATTCTATAAACACTTCAAAATAGTTTAATTTGTTTATTTACATTCGCTTGTAAACCTCGATTTTAAATGTATCCGCCATTTTTTTCAACAAATTTCCCGTGAGTCAATGCGCCACAGGACGTTCACTGAGCCACAGGATGTTGTAAATATGCGGCGCAAGGTTAATCAAGGCATATAATAAGGCAAGGCAAGGCATATAATAATTATTTATACCGTTCCGTCGTATAAATAATAAATTCATATTATTAATAAATTCCTATTACAAATAAAAATAATTTATTGTTAATTTAAAATTATCGCTAGGGCGCCTCTAGTGCCCGTTTTTGGCATACCGTTACGCGGACGGATACTCGTTCAATGGGTTATATATATAGATGTCTAACAGTATTCTACTTTTTCTCGTGTCTACTGTACTGTACTGCCGATCTATCTACTATAGTGCATTACTATTTTTCGCTGTATTGCTGTTTCCCCGCGTCAACTGCACTTTGTTACTTTTTTCGTCACTACTGTACTATATTACAATAAGATCCTGCTTAACGCCGGATGCGTTCCTAGACGACAAGGCGCTAAACGAAACAGCGTTAAACGAGGTCATTTTAACACAGTAAATAGGGAAAGAGACCTATAATTTTAAGTTATTTTTATATTAATTTTCATAATATGTTAAATAACACAAACATATGCACACAAAAATATAAAGTACTTTTACTAAGGAAATCTGTAGAGAAATTTTTTGGGTTCTTTATTTTCAGAATCACTATTCTCCAGTTCTACAGTTCTTTGAATTCCTTATTCTGCCTGTTCTTGAAGGTCGTCGTTGGTAAGGCTCTCACAATAAACCTGCAGTAACTCCTCAATATCCTGCTCGTCTACATCTCCTAGTCCTGCTGTATCGATTAGGCTCTTCTCGTTGAGAATTCTTGGATACCTTCAGCCATAACTTCTTCCACACTTCGTTCATGCATTCATCAGTTAATTCTTGCCAAGCCAAGTCGACATTGCCTATGGCATCCGTGATGTTATATTTTTCCCAAAGCTGCACCAAACAAACACAGATTTAAGGAAAGTGCAACGCTACGACGAATTGCCGTCTTTTGCTAATTGGTTTGTGTTCTGGAATAATCGTAATCAATGAAATGCCGCGATAATTTGAATTAGTGTAAATTTTGAGCTTTTTTAGACTTCGAGCAGACCGCGTTATATCGAATCGGCGTTAAGCGGGGTCTTACTGTACTTGTAATACACAGTATCACATACTCATTACGTGTGATACATTGTATCACTCGCTACGGTTACTATATTATATCACTTATCAACTACTAAGTACGTTCTGTACAGTAATGCATCGTGTAAATTCAGCCGTACTTTGCACGCCGTGCAATATACTAAATATATACTATATAAACCTACTTACTAGAGCACAAATTAAATCCCGATCAATCACTTAGAACGTAGAAATTACTATTATCCATCTATAATTAAATCTTAAATGCCTTTTAGATTTAATTATAGATTGAAAATATAGTAATTACTTTATCTAAACATTAAATACAATTATTTTGATGTCAAGATTTCGAAGATTCATCGGTTTTTATCTTCTCGTTCGCTCAAGAACTTTTTTTTATAATTTTTAATTATTTTCAAATTACTGCAATAGAAAAACAAGAGGTTTTTTTTATTTTTATTATTTTATTCATTTCGTTGTCTTATTTTTTAATATTATTTAATTTAATTTTGTTGTTTACTAATACAAATCCTTGATTCTGTCGGAGGAAATGAAAAAAAAAATCTAACAAAGAGTTGCGTAACTTTCCCGGCAAAAAACATTTGTAATTGCGTTTGGCGTCATCTATTACGATATTTTATTAAAACAACTTTTTATACTATTCATTATTATAAAAT